CTCTCCTCTCTCTGACTGCGCCCGACACTACAAAGGGTCCTTTGGGGGGGTCCAGGTCCGCTACGGCACCCGTCGGCGGATCGAGCCAACACCAACGCCATTGAAGGGGTCCGCGAACACACACAAATAAATACACACAGATCCCAGTATGCCCCATATGTTCTGATATTTTCTGTGTTTTTGTCTTTCCCCCCCACTTCCCATATTTTCCCATATTCTCCTAGGAATCGGCGATTCATTGTGTCAGATTTTTGTTGTTCCCCTCTTGAGCAATGGGGAGGGATGGGTGGGAAAGGTCGGATATCAGATATGGCGCGAGCGCGCCAAGCTTGTCCTTCCCCCTCTCCCTCCTCACTCCGCCCTCCCTCTCCCGCTCTTCAAAGCTTCGGCCGCTTACGCAAGCTCTCCAGTCGGCTGGGCCTTCAGAAAGCTTCTGGCGGCGCCGGAGTCTGGGATCGGGAGGGGAACTCAGGAGAGGATTCAGACAATATGGGTTTCTGGGATGGAGGAATCGGGGACTTGCCAGGCGCCGAAGAAAGGCAATTAGCTAAGCTGGCCTCTGCCCACTGCACCATGCACTTGCGGCAGTACCGGTGCTTGAACGGGCAGTACCAGCCTCCGTAGAGAAGCGTTGCGTCTGCCTCATCTGTATTCCCGCTGCCTCTCCCGCGCTTTCCATCGCAGTCCTTGTCGCCCTCTCCTGTGTGCAACAGCCGTCCTGTTCTTGCCGCTGCTGCCGGCGCCGCTGCTGCGAGCCTTGGCCGACGATACCGCACACCGCTCAGCGTAATAAGTCGTGAGATCGTCATATCATAGAACTGCAAAAAATGATTCTTGAGATCGTCATATCATAGTGCTGCCAAAACGCAGCCGTATCCGAGCCGCGTCGCGGTGAAATGTGGCGCGCGCCTCAGCGCCAAGGCGGATGCGCCGAAGAGGGGGCGCCAGGAGGAGAGGGGGATTAGCGCGCATGGCTCGAGACGTGAGCTCAGATGAAAGGAGGGCGCCGGGGAACGCATTGAAAGAAGAATGGGCCCTGAGCTCTGGGAGATTCGACACACGCGCACGCCCCCAATCCGCACCCCCTGCTGCCACGCCTCCGGCCGAGAAGCCGGTGCCTGCTGCTCCTAGTGCCGCCGCTCCGGCAGATCGAGAGGAGGGCGCGCAGACGAGTGCCACGGGGCACCGACGCTTCTTCATTCCGCGGGCGCCAAATGGGCCACGATGGTCAGCAAGCGGTGGGGTGCACTGGGATCGAACTGAGGCACGAAGGCGACAAGGAAACGAACGCGAGTTGGCGTCGCGCACTGGGGGGCAGGGGAAGTGGGGGAGGCTTCTTAGAAGGAAGCTGCGTCTTAGAAGGCGCCGGCATCACATCTACAAACAAGGCCCGCGCCTTCTAAGAAACAACAGTGTTTCTAAGACACCTCCTCCCCTACCCCTACCCCCCCTCCGCGCGTGGCCGGTCGCGGGGGGGGGAAGAGGGAGGAGCCCGCTCAGACCATGAGGGCCGGCCGCGGGGGGAGGCGCCACCTCTCCCAAGACACGGACCACCCCAGACCCCCCAGAATCCCACCCACAAGGACGCCCAAGGACATCCCAAACTCTTCGATCGCCGGTCCTTCGTGCTCCTCCTCGATCCTCAACCTCCAGGAGGGTGAGGTGACCCCAGTAGTGGTGGCCCCCGTGGCGCTGCCTGACACCCAGCAACTGCATCACCAATTGTGGGCCTGGCGGACCGGCTCAGGGGGGGTGAAACATCAAGCTGGAATCGGCGATACAGCGCCAATGGATCGGCGATAGGCCCCCGATGGCAAACCCGCACGTTCCTGGGCGGGGCGGGGGCTATCGGCCCCCTATCGGAGATGAAAAAGCGATTGGGGGTCGATAAGGCATCCCTGCGCCGTAGGCCGGGACACCAGCTGGAACGTTCTAAAACACTATGTCAGGGCCCGTTTCCTTTGGGACCAGTTCGCTTTTGGGCGAAAACTCGTCTCGTGGCTCGGCGGTGCTGGCCCGGGAAGCCGAGGCCCGCCCGCTCTCCGCGTGCACGAGAGCCGTGGCCAGCATTTCGAGGACAAGCGAGAAGCGGCGAGAACGTCCAGCGAACACGTCCGGCGAAAAAGTCCGACCCCCGAGGCCCGAAATGGGTGGCGATACCCAAGCCCTGACCGCACGGACCAACGATTCTCCTGAAACGACGGGAGAAAGGGTTCGGATGCCGTAGCGTGTCCGACGAATTCCGAACCCTACTCCCGCCGCCCCCGAGTTGCCTGAATCGTTGATGGTCGTGGGTATTTGGCCCAGATGAAACCCGAGCCCCGTACCCTCGCCGATGAAAGATCCAAAAGCAAGCCGCCGAGGGTCGCCGCCGATGATTGGCGGCGTGCGCATGGGTCTATGGGGAAGGGGGGGGCGTACTACAACGAGGCTGTTTCTTACAGTAGGGGCCCGTCCACAAGAAACTTCCCACGAGAAGCCCAACCCTGAGACCCCAGGGCGCCCATTGATTTTTGGTGTGGGAGCGCCACGCTTCCCATGGCAGAACCATCGAACCCCCCCAAAACCCAGCACCCTGGAGGCAAATAGGGCGTTTCGTAGCACGGGCTTCCACTTTAAAAGGCGCCAGCTTTACATCTGCAGAATAGGCCCGCGCCTTCTGAAAAGCAAGGGTGCTTCTAAGAAACCTCCCCCTGTACCCCCTACGGTCGGACCTAGGGCATAGTCACATTCTTCCAGAACGTGAGACCGTCCGCCAGCTAAGACACCCCTACACCATAACATCACACGATGGTACCCTCCCCCAGGATGCACAAGAACACCCAACAAACACGAAGAACATTCGGGTACCCTCCCCGAACCAGTTGTGATCTTATACCTTCGTGAGACGCGACGTCCAACGCGCCCCCAGATTCGTGGTCCACCGTCGCGTCCGCCAGGGCCTGCCCTGCAAGCGTTCGAAGCGCTGCTCATGGAGCGCGCGAAGGTCGATGTGCTCCGTAACGAAGCGCCACACGATGTCACAAATCTCTTCGTGGCCCCCAACCTCGCCGCCGATGTTGTACCCTTTTGCGTGCACGCAACACTGAAAACCACCCAGCTGCACCCTGCAAACACCCCGAAAGCATGAGTGATGACAATCCGTCTCCGCAGACGCTGGATATAATATCTGTTCCACCGTGCGCATCTGGCGCATCCGCAGAGTCATGCGCCGGGTTCCGTCCGAGATGGTCTGGTTGCTGGGCTGAAGCACGCGCAAAAAACTGCCTACTCCAACGCCGCCTGCTTGCTGCAGCCTCGCCTGGTAATGTGCCTCCTCCCGTTCCCCTTCCTCCTCCCCCTCCTACTCGCCCACCTCGTTTTGTCCTTCCCCCCTCCTCCCCGGTGGTTTTCGGGCCATCGCACGGCTCCTCGGCGATCCTTCGGGACGATCCGGGCACCCCCCGAAAACTGTCGGCGAGGCGCAGCTGCGCGAGAGCACCTCGAGGCCGGAACATCGACGCAAGCCTGCGAGAACGCCCGAACACTTCAAACCTCGCTCCTCCATCTCCCGCCCCTGGCCCCATCTCTGGAGTCCCGAAACGGTGCGGTGACAGACCGTGCGGCGACCTCGCAGCCCCCCGAAGACCTCACCGCACGGTCCGTCGCCGCACGGTCTTGGGGCCTCGGAGGCCCCAGCCGCCCGAGACGTCCCTGGAGAGCGGCTCGAGTCCCAAGACCGTGCGGTGACCCCGCATCCCCACCGACGCACCGCGCGGTGCGGTCACCACACCGTGTGGGGGCCCCCCGACCGTCGGGCTCCCCCGCGCCCCCCCCGCCGGTCCTCGGGCACGCTGGAGGCCACGGCAGACGGGGCAGGTCCTCCGCGCGGCCCGCTCGGCGGGCTCTGCCGCGTGCCCGCTGCCCTCTCCCGCTGCCGACAGCTCTGCCCGCGCCCCTCGGGGGCCGAGGCGTGCCTCTGTGCTGCTTCTCTTTACAGTCGGGGCGTTGACCTGAGGAACCCTAAATAAGGAACGAGGCCCCTTTTTCCCAAAAGTGAAACTTCGATTTCCTATGGAAAACCTTAGGGGAACCTAAGGCAAATTGCACAACAATCAAGGAACACCGAGCCCCTCCCCAACGAAAAAGGTTCCTTTTTCAGGGCCCCGACTGTACGGGGGCGTCCAGAACGGGCAATATCCGGCATCGTAGAGACGGGCAGCCCGATCGAATCGGCCTGCGCGGCGGATCGGGCCGCAGCGGCGCGGAGCCGGTATCGAAGCGGATCGGCGGCGCCAGACTGCGCAGCAACATGGCATCTCTTTGTGCGGAGCCTGCTGGCATCTGGCTCGGAGCCTCTTCCTCGCCGACTTCACCTTGGGCCCTCGCCTTCTTCGCGTCTTCTTCCCTGGGCACACATCCTGCCGTCCACTTCCTCCTCCTCGTCGTCCTCTTCCTCGTCCTCCTCTTCCTCGTCCTCTCTTCAGATTGCACGCCTTCATGTCCAGCTGTTCGTCGTCGTCGTCCTCTTGATACCTTCCCTTGTCCTCCTGATTTCCGACGCCCTTCTCCTCTCAACTCACTTATCCTGTCCACCCCCTGACATTGTGCAGAGCTGGATGCTGAGGTTCTTAGACTCATGTATACACAGATGTGTGTGTGTCTGTGAATGCACATCTTTGTGTATGTGGGTAGATGATTATGTAGATGTGTATACATTTCGGTACGCCGTTTTTGCACACGCATCTTGTGCAGACGTTAGTGGGCATACCAGTTCGTCCCCAACGTATGTATACAAGCATGTACGCAAGCCCATATAACCAGGAACATCATGGCGCACCCGCACCACCCCTGCATTCTGGAAGCATATACGCGACCAAGCCAGGTGGTCAACACTTACCAGAATTTCTTGAAGGCGTTTCCTTGGCCGCCGTGGGGAACGTTGGGAGGGGGAGGCATCTAGGAGGAAGAGATGGAGAAAGAAGAGGGATACATATATATAGAGAGAAAGAGAGAGAGAGAGAGAGAGAGAGAGAGAGAGAGCAAGGGAGAGAGAGAGAGAGAGAGAGAGCGAGATGAAGAGATATTGGTGTGAGCGCTGCGGCATCATACACGCAAGCCTCGGTGTGTAGCTCAGGCCTCATATGCTGATACATCATAGCTCGCACTCTACAGTTTGCACCACGTGGCTTGTACCACATCGATTGCATCACAGATCTCGCCATCGCCCATTTTTTTGTACTTACCATTCCGAGACTCACGATATCGCATCTGAACAGGAAGATGATGGCGATAACTGTATGTTGTATCTCACTCCCATAGCTTGTGCAATATTGCGTTCTGGAACTTATTGGGCCGTAGAACCTCTTCAGAACATCCTGAATTTGTGCCTCAAGCCCTCCATCAGTGAAGCCTCGGAGCCCACACCATGGCAAGAAATGCTGGTCTTAACCGCGTTCCAGAACATTCCCCATGCTTTCTACGTGCATATCTGTATGGACCCCTGGCAATGGTATAGTGACCCATCTGCAGGACACATTGTAACCGCCAGGCAGCGTCTAGCTCTTTCTGACAAGACCTGCGGCTGCGTTGGCACGTTGCTTACTGCGCCCATCCGGCCCCGTCATGAAACGTGTGCACTTCTCGCAACAGTAGATGAACGCCCGGCCAGTATATTGATCGCTGTTCGGCAGAAGCATGCAGTCTGGTTGTCAGCAGTTCTCGCGCTCCGCGGGGTCGCTGGGACCGCCGCTCACTGCGCGGACTCGCAGTCGCAGCCGTCGTGGGCACTGTAGTTACCGATGCGTCTGCCAGCGGCCACGATCGACGTCAGCGCGCAATCGCGCCGGTGCATGGACATCGGGGGCTGTTTGGCGCCCTTGGAGCGCGTGGCGCGCCTGGGCGCACCTGGCGGACCTCGCGCGCCTGGCGCACAGGGCGCGCTCGGAGCACGTGGGACGCCAGTGCCGCGAGGGAGGAGGGAGGAGGGAGGAGGGAGGAGGGAGAGGAGGAGGATAGGAGAGGAGGAGGAGGGGGAGGAGGAGGAGGAGGAGGAGGAGGAGGAGGAGGAGGAGCAGGAGGAGGAGGAGGAGGAGGCAGAGAGAGGGCGGGGCCTTCCTAGAGGGCAGGCCTTCGCCCCTCCGAGTCTGCAGGGGGCGGCGTCTCGGGCCGGAGGGCTTCTCAGAAGCCCCGCCGCCTTCCGAGGAGCCCCAGCCCCCGCTCGCCTCGCCCCTCGGAAGGCCGCCGAGCACATGCTGGGTGTCCCAGTCCCGGGAGCTGCTCTTGTGTTGGGGAGGGCAGGCGGGGAAGGAGCGAGGCCACCTGTGGCCGTCCTCTTCGGGAGACTCCAGGCATCGATCCCCGCGCTCGTCCCCCCGCCCTGCCTCCTCCCTGGTCACCATCCTTGATCCTCTGCTCTCCCCTTCCGCCCTCGGCATTGCACGGCGGGAGCGCGCTGCGGAGCATCAGGGGGAGCCCGCGGAAAGCGCCTTCGCACGACAACGCGCGTCGGCAGATTCCCACCAAGGACAGAAGCCCCGGCATCGCTGACGGCTGTGCTGCCGCAAGGATCATGCTGTTATTTCCGTTCGGGCCAAGATCGGTTCCTACCAGCTCGCTCGCTACAAGTGTGCCGCTCCGCTGGGGACAAGCACGCGGGCCCTGGCCTCACCTCTCTGCGCAGCTGCCCCTGCCAGCAGCGATAGAGCCGGGTCGGGCGAACGGGGGGGGGACAGCAAAGCGGGGGCTAGCGAATCAGCTCCCCCTGGCGTCTCTCCTCGATGCGTCGGCGCCTCCTGGCGCTGGAGGCGCGAACACATCGAGGAGAGGCGCCAGCGGCGGAGCCGAAAGCAGCTGCACGCAGCAGATGTCGTACACCCCCCTTTGCCTATCCCCCCCACCCCGTCTGGCTTTCGAGCTCGAGCCTCTGGCGGCAATTCGGGACGATCCGCGCCCCCCAGAACGCTGTCGGCGCAACGCAGCTGCTGGAGAGCCTCCTGACGCTGGAAAACGGGCGTGCGCCGACGAGGAAGCCGTGAACCTCCCTCCCTCTTCCTCCTCCCTCGCTCTCCCTCCAGGTTTAGATGCTCATTCTGGGGACCTTCCTGGAGCCACTCGCTCCACTCGTGCGTCGAAGCTGCGTCGAACCTGCGTCGAACCTGAGTCGAATCTGAGTCGAATCTGAGTCGAACCTGAGTCGAACTTTACTCGAACCTGAGTCGAACAGATCCATTAGCTGGGCCCCAGGAAGGTCCCCCAAACGAGCATCGAACCAGGTGGTTTTCGGGCCATAACTCGGGTCTCTGGCGGATGTTCGGGACGGTCTGGGTACCCCTGGAAAGCTCTCGGCGAGGCGCCGCTGCTGGATAGCGCCCTGAGTCTGGACAACCACCGCCGAGGAATAGCGGAAGGACGGTGGCGGACAGAGGAGGAGGAGGAGGAGGAGGAGGAGGAGGAGGAGGAGGAGGAGGGGGAGGAGGAGGAGGAGGAGAAGGAGGAGGAAAAGCAGAGAGGAGGATGGAGGAGGAGGAGCAGGAGGAGGAGGAGCAGAGAGGAGGATTAGGAGGAGGATCGGAGGAGGAAGGAGGAGGCAGTAGGAGAGCAGACAGGCGGAAGGAGGAGCAGGAGCAGGCAGCAGGAGCAGAGGAGGAGGAGGGTAGAGGAGGAGGAGGAGAGGAGGAGAGGAGGACAGAGGGAGGAGGAGAAAGTGAAAGGGGGCAGAGAGCCCCTCCCCCCCTTCTGCATGCACGCGCGCCTGTGCGCCCCGTGCCCCCCCCCCCCCCCCGTCCACGCAGGCGCCCCCTGAGGCAACACCTCGTCCGGTGCCGCGGGCACGCCGAGGCCTGCATGCCACCCGCGTTTCGCAGAAGAGGAATGAGGGCCGTAAAGCCGGCCGTGGCCGACGCCATCGTGGCCGTGACAACTGCCGCCGCCGAGGCCGTCGCCGTCGCCGTCGTCGCCCTCCACTCGCCCGCCCTCCTGCTCCTCCCGCACCCACCTCTTCCTCTCTTCTCGTCAACGCTCTCTCTCTCTCTCGCTCCTTCCCTGCTCCTCCTCCTCCCTCCTCCTCCTCCCGCTCTTCCTCCTCCTCCTCTTCCTTCTCCCCTCCTCCTCCTCCTCCTCCTCCTTCTCCTCCTCCTCCTGCTTCTCCTCCTTCTCCTCCTGCCCCCCCCTTCCCCTCTTCCTCGTCATCCTGCTCCTCGCCCTCCGCTCCTGCACCTGCGCTGCTCTTCCCGCTCCTCCTCCTCGTCCTGCACCTCTGCCCCGCACCCTTCTGCTCCTCCTTCTCCTCCTCCTCCTCCTCCTCCTCCTACCTCCTCACCTCTTCCTCCTCTTCCCCTCTTCCTCCTCACCCCTCCTCCTCCTCCCACTCTTCCTCCCTCCTTCTCCTCCCTCCTCTTCCTCCCCCTCTTCCTCTCCTTCTCTCCTCCTTCTTCACTCCTCCTCCTCTTCCTCCACCCTCCTCCTCCTTCCACCTCCTCCTCCTCCTCCTCCTCCTCCTCCTCCATCTCTTCCTCCCCCTCCTCCTCGTCCTCCTCCTCCTCCTCTTCCCCGTCTTCCTCCCCCCCCCCCGCATCCCTTGCACACACTCGTCCCAGGTGCGCCGACAATAACACACAGTCCCCTTCGTACTCTCTCCCCCTTCCTCGTTCCCGTGCCTTCTGCTATCCGAACAATCGGCGATCCGGCAACGGAGGCGCTGGCATCCCATTCGGAACTAAGCTACTGCTCTCCAGAGTTATTTTGCTCGGTGCACGCTCGGACACGGTTCGGACGGACTCGCCGTTGATGTAGCCAGCAAACGCCATCGCGATGCGCTGCAGCTGTCTTGCTCTGCTGGTGATGCCTCGTGGAGCTCGCGCTGAGAACTTCGGCCGTTTTTGTGCAATGGCTCCGCCCGATCTATCTGAAGTGGTGGCGCCGAGACATCGCCTGCCATCAAACCTCAAAGTGCGTGTCCCAATGCCCCGACACGTTTCGACACAATTGCCCGTGTCAGGTGCGAACTTACGACTGTGACCGTGATGCTGAAGGAAATCACCGTCGCTCGCTGCCCGTGGTAAGACACCTGGTCGTTTGTGCAGGTACGTGGTGCAAGGCTGATTCGTCATCGTTTCATCCCCCTTTCCCCTGCTCCCCCCTGTTTCACTTCCTCTCCATCTTCTTCTACCTCTCCCCTCCCTCATCGTTCCCTTCCACTTAGAAGCGCCGAACCGTTCAACAGGCGGTATCTGTGGTATGCGCGTATTTGTTTGCAACGCGTGCGACAGAAAACGGAGCTCACTTGTAGAGCCACGCGTGCATTGCAATAACTGTGAGGCACCACGTGGTGGAAGTAGCTGATGCACATGCTGTAAACAGAAACGAGCGGTAAAAACAACTCACTCTGATATACGTCTAGATCTGAGTGTGAATGGTGCCTTGCGCCGTAGCGGTGTGATTGATCGCCCATGCCAGCAGAACGCAATTCACATGTAAGGGATTCAAAAAAGCCCGATTCCCAAATCAATGTTTACGTGCCCTCCGGTTACACATGGCATAATGACTCACGGCCGAGCACACCCAGGTCCGGGATCTCATTCCTTCACACACTGCGCGGGCGTACGCACGTGAGCACGAAGGGTGCAACTGGGTGGGGCGTTCGCGTGTCGATCAGCTGGAGCGGCTTTCGAAATGCGTGCACGCGCTCCTCCGCCACGCCCCCATCCTGACTGCCCGTTGCAGTCCGCGGGCTCCCAGGGAGGCCTCGGCACCGTCCCTATGCAGGGCCGGCTCTCCGCAGAGGCCAATCTCCCGAGGAGCCCGCGGCACGAAGACGGCCCGCTCGAGGCCGAACTCGAGCGGGGGGGTGGAGGCAAATGAGGCGAGGCGAGGCGAGGCGAGGTGAGGCGAGGCGAGCGCGCGGTTCCGCGGCGGGGCTCTTCAGGGCCCGCGCGGGGGGGACCGGGGCCCTCAAGGCATGCTGTCGTTGGTTGCCGAAGTCGGGGTGCTGAGTTCTGAGCTGGTGGACGCTGCGAAATACATACAAATAATAGGATTCCCAATATTTTCCCATATTTTCCAATATTTTCCTGGGAATCGACGATTGATTGTGTCTGTGTGTTTCTTCCCTTCCTGATAAGTGCAGGCGGAAGTGAAGAGTCGGAAGCTGGATGCTGAAGTTGGAGTGCTGGGTTGGTGCAGGGGGGGGGGGGGGGGGGCAAAGGAAGATAACTTGGACTGAAGCGGCTCATCCGCCGGAGGCATGGGCCTTTGGAGGCCTCCGAACAAGGCGCCCCGAGGCCCAGAGCTGCAGACCAACAAGACACAGGGGCGCTGGATCCTCGATGTCCGAGCTGTGTTTTGACGACGGCGAGGGGTGTGGGGAGTGTGCCAGAATGGACCCGAGAAGCCAGGCGGAAGACGAGTTTTTCCCTCACCGCAAGCAAGCCTTCGAGCAGGGGAAACCAAGCGGAAGAGGAGAGGAGGAGGGGGAAAAGGCGAGGAGGAGGAAGGAGGAGAAGACGGCGCTGCGGATTCAAAACGAGGACCCAACACCTAGCAAGGTTGGGGGAAAAACACATGGCGTGTTCCGGGAAGCCCTGAACCCCAAACTGTTGTCAGATCTCGAAGGGCACTCTGCACCTCCGCTGGCTCCCGCCGGTCCTCCGCGAGCCTCCGCCGGCTCGGGCCGCCTCGCTTTCTTTCCGCCGACCTTCCGCCGAGGATCGGGTCGGGCGAAAGGGGGGGATCGCAAAAGGGGGGGTTTGAGAATCAGCTCACGCAGCTGATTCTCCCGGCGCCTCCCGGCGCCGGATGGAGCTATGCATCGACGAATGGGCCCCTCGGCGAGGCCGAAACCAGCTGCATGCAGCAAATTTCGTAACCCCCCCTTTCCCAATCCCCCCCCTTTCGTCCGGCCCGAGAGGAGGAGCTGACAACGCCCCTGCGTCGCTCGGACGTCCGTTCCCCGTGTATTCCTCGGCTCCGTGCGTGCTCCTTCGGCCAGATGGTCGGGGATGCTCCTCGAAGGTCCTCGCCGAGAAAGACCCGACCTAGGAGTTGGAGCCTCTAGGAAAGCAACCTTAGTAGGAGCGGTAAACGCCGTCCTCCTCCTTCTCCTCATCGTCGTAGTTGCAGCAGTAGCGGTAGTAGTAGTAGTAGTAGTAGTAGTAGTAGTAGTAGTAGTAGTAGTAGTAGTAGTAGTAGTAGTAGTAGTAGTAGTAGTAGTAGAAGTAGTAGTAGTAGTTGTAGTAGTAGTAGTAGTAGTAGCAGCAGTAGTAGTAGTAGTAGTAGTAGTAGTAGTAGTAGTTGTAGTAGTAATAGTAGTATTAGTAGTAGTAGTAGTAGTAGTAGTAGTAGTAGTAGTAGTAGTAGTAGTAGTAGTAGTAGTAGTAGTAGCGCCAGAACCGCCGACGCCACGCCGTAAGTGAAGCAGCAGCAGAAGCAGGCAGCAAGTCGCCGAGACAGCAGCAAAAGCAAGCATGCACGGAGATGAGGGCGGGGCACTGGGGAGTTCTTTACATCTACAGCTATATCTACACCTACAGTCCCGGGCGGTTCCCCCAGTCCCCTTGGAGTCAAGCAAAAGCTACGCTCTGCTATGCTATGCTATGCCATGCTATGCTGCGCAATGCTATGCTGGGCTAGGCTAGGCTAGGCTATGCTATGCTATGCTATGCTGCGCTATGCTAGGCTGCGCTATGCTATGCTATGCTATGCTATGCTATGCTATGCTATGCTATGCTATGTTTTTGCTTTGCCTTCGCTTTTGCCTTCACTTTTGCCTTTGCTTTTGCTTTTGCTTGGCACCCAGGGAGCGCAACTGGGGGAACCGCGCGTTTGCTTTTACCTTTGCTGTTGCTTTTGCTTGGCTCCCAGGGGACTGGGGGAACCGCCCGGGGCGGTTTGCACTGCCCGGCCCCTTTAAGCCAAGCGAGTAAGAACCCTTCTAGGCAGAGCCTAGGTAGGGAAAAAGAAAGAGGGAGAGAGAGAGAGAGAAAGAGAGAGAGAGAGAAGCAACAAAAAAAAACGCCCCTCCGGGCCCCAGGTCCCACACCTCCCCGGAACATCTCGGGGCCGCTCCCGGTACCGCTCCCCAGGCATTTCCGGGGAGCCTCCACAGCGCCCCAGGGCCCAAGACGCCTCCCAGGAGCCCCCAGAACGCGAAAGGATGGTCCAAGACGCTCCCAAGCAGCCCAAGTCAGCCTTCCGACGGCTCTCGAGGCTCCCAGGTGGCCTCCAAGAGACCCCAAGAGAGGTCCGAGAGGCGTCCCGGGACGGCCCGAAGAGGCCAAAAAAAGCCAAAATCGTAGATTCACATTGTTCCCCACATGTTTACTGGGGTCACGGTTTTCTTCCTTCCCGCGTCGCACCCGCGTCTCCTCCTCCTCCTCCTCCTCCTCCTCCTCCTCCTCCTCCTCCTCCTCCTCCTCCTCCTCCTCCTCCTCCTCCTCCTCCTCCTTCTCACACAGCACAGTGCAGCACCAGAGGGGGTGCGCAGGGGGTGGTCCCTCAGCGCGGCCGCTATCCGTGACACGCTCGGAGGGCATGGCAGGAGTGGCACTTTCTCGAAGCCATAAGAGGGTGCGCAGGGGGTTGTCCCTCAGCGTGGTCGTTATCCGTGACACGCTCGCAGGGCGTGGCAGGAGTGGCACGCGGGTGCGCAGGGGGGTCCCTCAGCGCGGCCTCTATCCGTGACACGCTCGAAGGGCGTGGCAGGAGTGGCACTTTCTCGATACCACAGGGGGTGCGCAGGGGGTGGTCCCTCAGCGCGGTCTCTATCCGTGACATACTCGCATGGAGTGGCAGGCGTAGTAGTTTCTCGGCACCAAAGTGGGTGCGCAGGGGGTGGTCCCTCAGC